TTCAAATCTTACGCGGGAGAAAACCCGAACAACCAAAGATCTACATACATACAATATATTCCACTATTCAGGTGCCTTGGCTTACAATCACAACTGAGCCCAACATTTCTGTTGCATAGCAAGACAATTGCTAAGTGACTTTTGCCACATTTTATGACCTTTTATGGCACAATTGTTAACTGATTGAAGTTAGTAATACAGTTATTGAATGAATCTGGCTTTCCCATTGACTATGCTTGTTAGAAGTTTGCAAAAGATGATCGCGTGACCCCAGGGCACTGCGATCATCATAAATAGGAGTTAGTTGCAATATGTCAGAATTTTGATCATGTGACCATAGGGATTCTGCAATGGTTGTGTGAAAAATGGTCATCAGTCACTTTTTTCAGTGCCACTGTAAGTTTGAATGGTCACTAAATGAACTGTTGTAAGTTCAGGACTACTTACATTTTTGTACTAAAAAGGCTGGAAATTTCTGTTTACATAAGCATCTCAAATTATTATTCAAAGAAATCATGCAAATTCTATATCTACATGATATGTGTAGATATAGGTAGAAACAATGCTTTTTTAAAAAAGTTATATTTCCTATTAAATAGATTTCAAAAATACCTAGCAACAGCAAGTTATTTTTCACAGAAACACAAGTGCTCTGAAAAATAGTTTTAAACTAGAATCACCTACCATTTCATCATGAATAAGATGAGCTTGGACATTTGCTTGTGCATGATCTTTTTCACTTGACAGCTCATACAATGGATCTAAAATACATATACAGAAATGGAAACACTTTAATAAATTTAACAAAGTATATTATTCTATACAATCCTGTAAAGCATGCATTTATTCATAACTTTCTAATATGGCTTCAATTTTAATTTAAAGATGAAGTAGGTATGTGATGTTACCTTGAGAATTCTCAGTTGCTTTTATTAATATTTATTTGTCTTTTTATAAATAAGATGGAGTAGAGAAATGCAAAAGCAATCAAGTTATTCAATGAACCAGTAAACAAAGCAAGTAAAAATTAATCTATAGATAAGTATTTGCAAATGAACTCAAACTTTAACAAAGAGAACATTATTATAAAGTCAAAGCAGAAAAACCAGAATGTTAGGATGAACAATTTGTGACTTAGTTTGTTATGGAAATATGGTTTAAGAAGTACCACTCACAATCAAGTCAATTATAATTATAATATCCATAACAATCATATAAAGTTAATGATCCGTGCCTATCACATAGATTAATTTTGAGTGTGAATGGTATATAACAATTACAGCACAGATAGTCCTCTACTTACAACCACAACTGAGCCCCAAATTTTCATTGCTAAGGAAGACAGTTAAGTGAGTTTTGCCCCATTTTATGACTCTTTGCGCCACAGTTAAGTGAAACATGTGATCACTAAGTGAATCTGGCTCCTCCTGCTGACTTTGCTTGTTGATGCTAGCTGAGAAGATTACAAATAATGGTAACATGACCCTAGGGGAGTCCAACTGTCATAAATACATGCCAAGTACCCAAATTTTGATCACATGACCATGAGGACATGGCAGTGATCATAAGTGTGTAAACTGGTCGTAAGACCCTTTTTTCAGTGCTATTGTAACTGTGAAGTCACTAAGCAAATGGTTGCAAGTGGAGGGTTACCTGTAATAGAAAAAATTAGGATATATATACCTATGATGGGCTGAAAAGTCCATACTATGGTAAGTCTGGTCCTGTTTCCATACAAAAGCACAACTGTCATTTCTCCTCTACCCATTGGGACTATATGCTCTTAAGATGGACTTTATAACTACTAATTCTCAGTGGCACTGATTTCAGGACGCTTTTACCTATTCTTAAGTTTAATTAGGATGACCAAACCAATTTTCTTAGTCCAGAATATACCGAACCACAGAATTATTTCTCAAACGGGACTAAAATGGGCTGGTTGGTTTGTGGCTCAGTGGACCCTGCAAATCAAGCCTGTCGGTTCCCGAAAAGTTCACTTCTAGAAAAGCAAGCCCCATCAGCGTCCCCTTGGTTACCATAAAGGAAATCAAAAGCCCGGTTGGGAGCCATCTTCCTGCGATACCGGATCCCAGCGTGGTCCAGCGGCCGAACAACGGTCACCGCTTGATTCATCTTGCGGCCGGCTACCTTGGTCTCTGCCGCCGCCTGGGAAGGTTGTCGACGCCGTCTACATAGCAACCGTTTCCACAGGAACAGAGCCGAACGAAAGGGCTCCATGACACTTCCTGGAGCGATACCATAGAGCTGGAGTTGGAGTGCAAATCGCTCCGCCGCGCCAGTAACTTGGAGTCTTTTCTTGACGCTTTGCCCAGGGGAAAAAAAAAAAGAAGCAATCGTCGGTATCAACGAGGCTCATCTTTCACATTTGGGGGAGTTAAGAAAGGAGCATTTCCATTAAGAATATATTTCTGGGAGAATTTGTCTTGAAAACTCGGACACCCGGAAAACTGAAGAGAAGCCACGGGTATGATAAATTCCAGGATAAATTCCAGTCTAATGAGCTATGATGGACGAATTTGCTTCTCGTCGACTTTTGTGACTTCACGGACGTGTCCACTTAAACGTCTTCCGTGTTTTGTTTTTTGTTTCCGTCCTATGTCCTCGGATTATTCTTCTCTGTTCTGTTCAGATATCCGGCATGGCTTATTGTAACATTCTGCTGCCACCTAGCCGAGCTTTACGGGCATTGCCCCAATATAAACATATACCTTTCAAGAATTCAAACTAAGCAACGAAACTAGTATTTAAAACTATACAGTAGTTCGAAAGTCCACCTGGGAATAAAAGAAAAAAGTAGGGAAAAACGGCAAACAAAATCATAGATCAAAAGGAATAACAATCTTAAAAGATTTATTTGCGGTTCGGCTACTTCGGGGATCATTAGACACAGTCTGTCGTAAAAAAGGTGATCAGTAGTCTTTAATGCCTCGTCCTCCATCGCCGCATTAAGACACTTCTTCCTTTTCAAAGTTGACGGCTTGCATACATAGAACATTGGGGATGTTACGTCACAAACGACGGTATCGTAACCTAGTGGCGACGGCGGAAATCCGAGACACTCCTTCCCTGTAGGCCTGTGTTCTGGCTGTTTGTGCGCATGCGCAAGTAGAAGGGATGTCGAACCTGGCATCGTGCGATCCGGCGGGTCTCCAAGCCCCCGCTCAGGCGGAGCAAAAGCCGCCGCCTTCGCTGAAGCCGTGTTGTGCCTGCCCCGAGACAAAGCAGGCGCGCGACGCTTGGTTGGTAACGGGGGCGGGGGGTTACGGGAGAAAAGGGCGCGTGGGTAAATTAGGGACTTCGCCGCGACATGCGGAAGCGTGGGGCGCGATGGACAGTTTTGCGCGTCGGCAAACGGTATCGAACTGGCTAGCCAAACCGCAGAAGCAAATTCCCTCCGGATATTTTTTAGCGCTTCTCCCAGACTGGACCAAAGTCGGGAAACGGCTGGGAGAAAGTTTGTCTCAATTATTCCTGGACAGGAGAAAGCGCCTCGTTGCTGGAGCAACAGAGGTGTGCCTTTTCCCGATTAAGTCGTAAAATAGTCCCGCATCTTGTTCTAAAATGAACGCGTTATTTCTTCCTGGGTAGAAGTGGTGAGAAGCAGAAACAGAAGAGCTCATTTCTAAACTTGAAAGACTGTTGTTAAATATTTTAAACTCGGTTTTCAAAAACCTGCTAGTGCTAGTACAAACGATTTATTAGAAGAGACTGCCTGGGAAAGAATAAAATCACATTATTAAATTTTTTTGTGGCACTTTATATTTAGTTATATACAAAATATGTTGTGGCTTCAGTCACAGACTTATGAAGTGGCTAATAATTATTGAACTGCCAAATTAATTTTAATATGGAGCAATTTACCACCTGATTACTGTTAAAAAGTTGCTGAATAATGTGCTTTAATATAATAACCTCATTTTCCAAAAACTGCAAAAGCAGAGGCTGGGTTAGTCTTATTCAAATATACTGAAGCTATTCTTTAATCCTAAAATTTACAAGTCTCGAGAACTTCTTGATTACAGTTTTGAAAGTATCTAGCTTAACATCATTACAGTTCATTTTACCATATATTTAAAATATATGTGGGCAGATTATCATAATTTCTAATACCTAGTTAAAAAAAGATTTATTAAGACAACTGTTTTTTTTTTAGAAATAACAGCAGCAGCAGTAGCAGCTTAAAAGAAAAGCTTAACTTTGCTTTTAACTATAACTATAACTTAACTAGCCTCAAATTTTAAAACAAACCTAGTCCTGGGTAGATGAGGGTAGAGCTTTTGATAGCAGCAGTTGAAGGTAAAGTTTCTCCTTTGCAAATGTTTTGCAAGTGTCTTGCACCATACCACATCTCCAGCACCAAGGCCAGAAAGATAGCAGGGGGATATACTGTTTCTGGAAGTTTGGAGAATCTGTGTGTCTATGCCATGTTTCGCTCCCAGCCAAACCACAGGACTAATCAAGGGGAGAAGCTGAGGCAGGAGGCTGACTGTCCAGACTCTTTTCTATATGAACCCAGATTTTAACCTCTTCCTGCAAAACTGCAGAAGGCTCCCAATCTTTTCTGAAACAGTTGCACTAGTGGTTTTATTTCCTTTTACTCAGAATAAAGTCTATGTTCCTGGACAGAAATTGCTTTATTCCAACGATTGACAGCTTAAAAATTAATGAAAGTAATCTTCTCACTGTCCCAACACCTCTCACTCTGGAGAAAGAAGCTTGGTAGATGCAGAATAACCTCTTTTTAATTTCTTCTAGAAAAAGGAAGGCAGCTACAACCTATTATTTTCAAAGTGGTTGAGAAACATCTGTATCTGTATATCTACATAAGATTGACTATGTTAAATAACCTGGATAAGGGAAGGAGAACAATTTGGTAACATAGAAGTATTACAGCTAGTCAGACTCAGAGTTGAAGTCCAGTGCTCATCAACTTAGTTGAGGCCTTGATTTGTGAAATCACTTAAAGGGGAAATGTTGTTTTGCAGCATTATCGAAAAAGGAGAAGAAAACTGTGGCCATCTTATTGAAGCTCACAAGGAGTGCATGAGAGCTTTGGGTTTTAAGATATGAACAAGATGAGTCATATATTGGAATCTTTCATAGGTAGGTGACTAAATTGCTATTTACCAAAACATAGTTTAATCAGAAAATATAATTTCCTAGCAATTACCACTGCATTTGTGGGTATAGAAACTTTTGTGGGTGCAAAACTTGCATAATCTATAATATGCATAATGTATTTTCTTCCTGTTTCCAATTTGTCGTGTGTTTTGAAAATTTTAATTTTAGTTTGAAAATCTAAAATAGCCCTGTTTTGCTGCAATGAAACTAAATAGTTTTTCTTCTCTAATTATACTTACTAGCAGTCTTTCTTATTTTCCTTTTTAAGCCTAAAACTCTAATTTCTCCAGAGTTACAGATATCCTACCATAATTTATGGATGAAATACCTTCTTACATTTTATCTGCTTTATTTATCTACTGGAAATAGGACTTGGCACAATTAAATTGAATGAGCCAAGTATTCTTACTAAGATATAATGTTATTTTTGGGAGGGAAGTATAATTTTTTACTTTAATTATACACATATTCTACTTAATAGCACATAAATTCAACGTTATCAATGGTAAATTGGCTGCATCCTCACAGATTGGGTCACTTTTAATATACACTTTAGGAATATAAAAAGGGATTAAGAATATGTCATCAATGAACTTCGTCACTTTTTGTCTGCAGGGTATATGTTCCCCAAATGCTATTTTTCAAAGCCTTAAAAGCTATTTATTTTCCAATAACAGTATTCTCATGTTGATTTCTGTCAACAACAAAATGAAAAGATCTTTATAACTGATTGTCCTATCCATATCTACAGTAGTAACATATGATAACCCCACCATAGGATTCATATCCTGCTGATTTGTGAATTTAGAAAAATCTGAAAATATATTAACCCTAAAGGAAAAAATAACCAATGTGTAGGATTACTATAGGTGAAGCAGGTCCCCAGTGTTCTTTATCCTATTTTAACTCTTAACTAATTTATATATTTATTTATAAATCAACTGATTTTTGGCTTGTCAGAGGCCTCCAGCTTCCCTTTCTCCATTGAAGGATCTGCAGGACCAATCTCCTGTGTTATAGCAATAGCACTTAGATGTATATAGTGCTTTATAGTGCTTTACAGCCCTCTCTAAGCAGTTTACAAATTGCCCCCAACAATTTGGGTCCAAATTTTACCCACCTTGGAAGGATGGAAGGGTGAGTTATCCTAGTTGTTGCCATCTTTTTGCTAAGAAAACTGAAATATTATAGAAAATATGTTCATATATCAAACATTTGCATGCTGCTTCTAAGATCTAACGCTTACACATTAGGATTAATTGGAAAATTTTTCACATGCATAGTCCAAACCATTATCATATACACATCAGTCATCAACTAAAGTAACAGGGTCATGATACACCAGATACTACATGGACCCTCAATTTACCCAAGCCCTGGAATAGGGCAGATACAAAGAGTAATACTCTCTTCCAGCAAAATGGAATAAACTTCGCAAGGTTTGTAAGAATGAATTAGTTCTGTGATTGAAATCCAGTATTCTCCAACAATAGTTTGCAAAAAAATTTTTAAAAAAACTTCTGTTCTGGTAGCCAAAAGTTCTAAGAAATAGATTAGGACTAAAACTTTTTAGGAAGGTCCAAATCCAAAGGAAACTGAATTAAACTAGTGCTGGTTTTTCCACCAGAATGTAAAACCTGTCCCAATTATCTCTGGGTTTATTCAAATTGAATGTATAAACTAGAAGCATTACTCATAATGGCATATGCATAAAAGCACTGCATAAAAATGTTCTTTGCTTCTGTTTTAATGTCTGGATATTCTTACGGATAGTCCAAATGTATTTTTTCAATGTTAAGTCCTAGACAACTATAATTATGACTAGAGAATTGGTGACCTGTTCGGTTATCCTTTCAGAAATATTTCATGACAAGGTTCCTCAGTGCCTTCAACTATGATAGAACCTTATGTATTGCTTTCACTGGAAAAGTTGGTATACATTGGGAGATCTGTCTTGAAAATAGCCCATGTTGAACTGTTTAGGACAGCCAAAGCATCAGTGTAGGAAATATTTTATGACATTTTGTATCATGTCATAAACTTTTATAATAAGTTTTATGTTATAAAATGTTTTATAAATTTTTAATAAAATGTTTTATAAATGTTAATGCCGTGGGAATCATGGGTCCTTGATTTGGGATGCATTCTGTCAGTTAATCCATTAGATATATCTCAAATGGTTCTGACATTATTGCCCTATGATGCATTGTTTCCTCCAATTAAAACTTACAGGAATGAGAGTTTTAATAATATATAAATAGATGGTCAAACAGTTTCTTATAGTTTTTTTCCTTTTTCCTTTAGGTGATTTACTGTGGATAATTGGAAACTTTACTTCCACAACTGGTTGAATTGCTTTTTGATGTTTTTTATGAGAAGATGGGGAAAAATATTTAATATAAGTTTTAAAATCACAACAATATATTGCCTTAATCTATACCTTGTATTTGGGAAATTGTGACAATAAATTATTCTTAGTATTTAAAGTTCTAATTTAAACAGAGGATTGTTTCTTTCCTGTACATAAAATATTATGAATGCAAGCAATAAAGCAATTTGATCTGAATACAGGTAATTTTGTTGGAATTAATAAATGTGTCTGCATGGATTGAGTCTTGTTCAGTTTCCTGAAGACTATTCAGGAAGAATTGCTCACATCTTAATTAAAAAGCAATGAAGGGTTTGGAAAAAGCCATTTAAGTCATCAAGTCCAGCCTCCTGTTTAGTGCAAGAATACAAATTAAAACATACTGTCAAGTTTCTAGTAGAACAAGCAAAGAAGATTTGCCCACCTTCTCCCACCATTAATAATTGCCTAACATTTTACTGGAATCTCATTAAGTTAAGACAGTTATCCCTAGCTGCCAATCTGGAGTAATATAAAACGGACTTCGGTAGAGGTCTGCTGAACTTCCAAGAGGCCAAAGAAAGTGTTATATAGGGAAGTGACTGCTATAAAAAAGGTACACTACTTAGCTTCCATTAGATAGCAATATTTAGGACTCATTCTCTCTGGCCTGGTAGGAGCAGTAGAAGTTCTTAGGGAAAAATTTAAGTGCCTTACAGACCAGGGATCTCTAACCTGTAATCGCAGCTCACTAATGGACTGGCATGTTTGAAACCAGGCCATGCACATGACAGACAAGCACTCACGTGAAGCTCCACCTGCATGAGCAGTAGGCCCTTGCACTTGGATGCGAAGCTCCACATGTGCGAGTGGAGGGCACTTGTGCTCATGTGCAAAGCTCCATTCACACAAGCACTCCGCTTACATGAGTGGAGCTTCACACGCAAGCACAAGTGCCTTCCACTCGCATGCGAATGGAATTGTGAGTGCACACATGTACCTGCAACTCTCATGCTCCCTTCGCCAGGCTGGGCCACCAAGGTGGACAGGTTTTGTAATGCTGAAGTAGATCTTTGATGAGCAGCATCTTGATGAGCACCTGGAACAAAACTGAAAGCCAGTGTAGCTTGCACAACAGAGGCATTACATGGACTGACTAACTGTGTGCTGCTGTGTTCTGGATCAATTGTTCTAGATGACCTTCAAGGGCAGCTTGCAACAGGTCCCTAAAAGGAATTATTTTTCTTCATACTAGTTTAGGGCAAGCAGTTAAGAGACTATAACACTAATACAGTGAGTATCCTGACCTGATTGTATGTTTAAGTCAAGTTAATCTCATTTATAAAACTATTTTTTTCCTGGAACTTAATGGACATTAAGCTCCTGGGCATGCTCATTGAGATAGCTCCTGGTAGCATTGTTCTGGATGCCTTCACCAGGGTGAGAGGGGAAATAGGATGGCCAGCATATATTTTTTTGCATACATGCAAAATTGCACTATGATACCCTTTCTGGACAATACTTTCTTCTCAGAATTGAGAGTGATTACAGTTAGCTCAAAATCCCCCAGCTGCTTTTCATGCCTAAAACAGAAGTTGTGGTTTCCTCATTTCTAATTCAGTATCTTCAAGTCCCACAACAAAATGGTAGTCTGACTAAAACTAGCTTGCATTAAAACAGTCCCCTATACATCTCAGTATCTTTCTATATATGAAAATCATTCTTGCTTCCTTCAGGTTCATAAACTGATTTGTACACTACAGCTGTTATATCATCTGATGATCATCTGATCAACATTCAGGTGCTTGTCAACCTGCCTACACTTAGAATTTTGAACACATGTTGGCACTTCACCATCTCTGCCTTTTTGACTATCATGCAACTGGCACTCCTTGATTGTGGCAGGAGCATTGGTGCTCACCAAGTGGCAATCTCAGCCAGCTGCCCCTGCCTCCAGGGTTCTACTTCGGTCTATTGCCACCACCAAGGAGTGCCTCCTCAAGCCCCATGCCACAACCTGCCATCACAACACCACAGTGCAAAGCCCTAGCTGTGTCTGCCACCCTGTTCTTGGTTCACCTTGCCAGCCTGCTTTCTTGCGCTCTGCTCACCCTACCAGCCCTGCACTCCACTTGCCATGGCTGTCTAGCCTCCCTGCTGCTCAGTGCTCCATTTGCCATGCCATCCAACTGACGCTGCTGCCCTGTGCCCCTGTACACTTCTTACCCTACAGAGGTAATGGAGTATAAGGCAACCAGATGTGCAGGTGATGGAAATCCTAGTCCCAAATTCCATTATTTCCTGAGGACTACCTTGATAAAATGAATTTTGATTACAAAAAAGGCACACTACATTTTGGCACTCTGGAAACCTTTTATGAACTTTTTGCATAAAAATGGGGGGGAAAACCTTGTGATTTATAGTTTTCATGATTAGACAGGATAGATTATAGACAAAAAGTATTATGAGATAACTTAGAAAGGCTAAATATGTGAAGAACATTTTGTCAGGTGGAGCTCCATTCAAAATTCAAGAAAGAAATACTTAGACTCTAGTTTAGAGAAAAGGTATCTTTTACTGAAATTGAAGTGGTAGCAACCATAGAATTCTGAATCTGGGAAATTAGGCACGCAGATCACATATACAAAGTGATGGAAATGTTCCCACCCCCAATAGTTCAAATGATTCTTCCAATTAAAAGTTGTGAATATGATCATGTGGACATCTTCAGGTGGTGATGAGGCCTCTGTCCGTTGGCCTTGGCATATTTTGATAAAGGTTTGCAGCTGCGCAGAGAAAAGAAAGCTAAGCGAGAAATAGAAACCTAAGCAAGAATTTATACTCCCCCCCTCCTCATTTTACACAACACTAGAATGTAACACCTCCAGCTCGCTTCCCAGACTTTACCCCCTCCTCCCCCCAGTACTTATGGCAGCCAAAAGATGCAAAGCAATAGTAGAAGATCTTGAAGGCTGACATATTTGAAGCTACTTCTTTGTATCTTTTTTCTTTCCTAATTTAATTCAACTTTTTTCTTTTTTTGCACTTTTTGCTTTCTTTGTTATTAAAATGTTTTTAATGTTTTTAAAAGATTAAAAACTAATGCAAAGTATTATAATATTGCATTAGTTTTTAATCTTTTAAGAACATTTTAATAAAAATCATATAAAAAACCATTGAGCTATTTTATTTTCCGTGTTTAACTTTCTTGTTCTCCTCTGCCCAATTGTAATCCTAAAGTAGACTTATTCCAGTTGCTCATTTTCTGGAGAGAACATGTGATTCATAAAGCCATTCAAAAATGAAATATTTATGTTTTTATTCTTGTTATTTTGGCTCATGCTGCCAAGCAGTTTCAAAATATTAAGATAATATGTATCTAGATATATTTGATGAAACACGTGCTTATGACCTTTCAGTAGGTTTGATAAGAGGATGTGCTACTAATGGTAGGACAAACGTGGAAATTTCAGTGGGTTTAAAATCCTCCCAAGTGCTGATGAATTTTGGTTTTATCAAAATTCACCCAATAAAGGCAATGGTACAACACCACTCTTTTTAATTTTTTTCCCAACGTAGTTTGCAATTTCCTTTAAATCACAGTTTAAATAAATTGGTAAGCAAAAGTTTGGTAAGTGGAATAGCTGAAAAATATTAGCATGACATATAAAAGTAATTTCATCTCATTGCATTGGAAAAAGAATACACTGGTGCTATCCCAAACCAATTATCACAAAGTTCTGATAACTAAACAACAATGACAAAACTAAAAGTTTCCACTGAGTACAAAACAGATTTGACAAAAATTATCCTGTTTAGGAGTAGGGAGAATGGCTCCTTTTGTACTATGCCAGAGTGCCTCAACTAATATGCTTGTTTGGACCAGTCAATCCCTCTAAAATTAGAGAAAAGAATGCATACTGGAGAGTAAAGAAACAAAGAATATGGTATGCACTGTGCAACATGCAGCACATTCACAAACATCTCTATTTCTGGACCCATGTTGCCAGGAATAGATTCAAAGTATTCCACAAAACAAGGGAGCCAGCAAACTTAGAAAGTACTAAAGACTGTATTTTCTTTCTATGACTGATATTTACCCAAATGGAAGACAATGCTTAATATAAGGTACACGAATTCAAATGGAAAATTGGACGCCAAACTTCTTACCTGCTTCATTTAATGTATTCTCAATTAATTGAAGACAATCTTCTTATTTTAATCAAAAATTATTCGGGGTGGAAGAAACCAGTTTCAATTTCAGAAAAGGAATTGTCCTTGCCTATTCAGATTTTCTGCTGATAATTCTCCTAAGTATCCCAGTTGTCTTCCTCTTCTGTATTATATAAAACTCTCTTTTTACGATCCTATAATCCCTTAATTTGGGGTAGAGTTGGAGTGACTGGATGAAGCGGAGCATTTACTGGTTGGATGCCCTTCCTGATGCCACAACTGAGATTGCAGAAGATATTTTTTTCTTTGTGCCCTAGGAGATAAATATTTGCTACTACTTAGGATTGAACTCTCAAACTTCTGAGTGAGAGGTGAGTGTCTTCACCATTAGGCCACCACACCACTCTTTCTGTGTGATTGTATATCATATAAAGATATTTATTATTCATATCCTTTTTAATCTCTTAATTTATTGCTTTTAGTTGTAATAATGAACTACTACTACTCCCCCCCCCATGTAAAAATACTCTTTGGTGATAAAGTGTATCTGAGAACAAACTGAAAACTCTGTGCAGTATTCAGAAACAATACTCTGTAATCTAGTTCTCAGAGTTATGTTAAGTGGCAAATGTCTGGCTGCTCTCTCTTCCCGTTCTAGCCTTTCCTTCTTGGATTTCAATGCCAAACATGGTTATCTATGTAGCGCCTCTCTCTGCTTTCCATGCCTTAGTGCTATACATTCCAAATTAAACACTAGTGCCCTCTGCTTGTCTTCCCCACCCCTTTAGCCCTCCCTGCTGCTCTTTCACTGTGTCTATTTTAATTTATCTCAAGGCAGGGGAGAAAACAAGCTGCAAACACTCTTAGCTACTCTGATTTTTCCACTCCAGTTCTCAAAAGGAGCTTCCGGGATTGAATTTCTCATGCTTCTACAAGTTCATCAGCAAGGTCTCAAATCTCATCAGGAACGCTGGGTATTGCAATTTGTGGAAAAGAACTTCAGGAATTGTTGGATGTAAATACATAATTTTAGAAATGTTCCTCTAAAATCTCCATAGAGGTGTAGGTGTAAGAATTAGTTTCTGTATATGCAATTAATTTCAAAGTGAGTTAGGGGTAGAAGTTACAGGAAAATGAATGAAGAAAACACACTTTTGGATCGGATAATTTTTAATCCGGTTTTGTGTGAGAACTGGAAATACATTATGGAAGGAGCAGCCTATCACCTTGCTAGTTTCTTCCTCCTCCTTGGCTATATGGGAGGTAGTGGAACCTTTGGTGCCATCTATATTTTTGTGCTGTTGTCCATTGGCTTTCTTTGCTCTGCTGTATGGGGCTGGCTCAACGCTTGTGGATTAGACATTGTCATTTGGAATGTGCTTTTATTTCTGATCTGCTTGTTTCAGCTAGCACATTTAATTTACCAACTCCGTAAAGACACTTTTTCTGAGGAATTTGATCTCCTGTATAAACAAATTTGCCAGCCTTTGCAAGTGCCTCTTCAAACTTATAAAGAAATAATCAAGTGCTGTGATGAACAGGTCTTGCCTTTGGCCAAAGATCAAACCTATGCTGTGGAGGGCAAGACATCCATTGACCGTTTGTCCTTCTTGCTATCTGGCAGGTAGGTCTTTTTTTCTCCTGAAAATATCCCTTATGATAGTGGTGCTTTTGAACACTGCTAAGTGGTTTCAAAAGGTAGAAAGGCATAGGAACTGCATGCTTTCCTCTTTCTCACGTTATGGAGGAAAAACCCATTTTTTCACCCCAATTGGCTTTTTTATCTGGATCAAATGGGGAAGGAGGTGCATAAGAGGAAGTATAATGCGAGCCATCATTTTCAGCATGTATTTGTGCAGCCCAGAAACAAAGTTGAAGTGAAGGCCTTTAGCCCTCTTAACTTTAAAATATGAATATAAAAGGAGGGTGATCAGTGGGGAAATGAAAACTAATGGGCTAAGGCCACATTGCTTCTCTGTTGCAAACTGACTTCTTCAAATTTAGGAAGGTTAATTATTGTGATAAGGGAGGCAGAACATGGGTTTCCATCTACTGGTAGATACCGGGGTGATTTGCAATACTTTCTCAGTTATTTAACAATAACAAGAACTTTATCTTCACCCTAAATTGCTGAATGAAAAATAATTAGCATATTCAAAAGGATTTGCTTATTAGTTAGAAAGATGATGAGCTTTATTTCAAGTTAAGAGTTTGAACAATTGCTGAGCTCACAATTCTTTAATTCTGTTTCCTTCTACCTCTCTCCATATTGAGGGAAGGGTCCAGGCTTTTAATTAAAAAAAACAAAGTAGACCCTCCTGCCCTGGAGACTGTTCACTCCCATTTATAATCTTTGAAACTGAATATACTGTATGTTATATACGAATATACAAATGGCAGATTTGTTTTAAAAAAAGCTTTAAAAGTAATAGGTTTTGTAGAATCATATTATTAATGAGACATTTCTGAAGTTGTCCAAAAGGTAGAGGAGAGAACTAAAGAGACAGCCATACTGTATCTAATACTCACAAACAGAGAAAAAGTGACAGAGGGAGTTGAAACTGCAGGAACTTTGGGTGAGAGTGACCATGTCATACTAGAATTCAATATTTCAATATAATGCAAACACAAGCAATAGAACATAATCATACCAGAGTCTTAGATTTTAAAAAAACCTGATTTTAACAAACTCACAGAGAGGACTTGGGAAAGATTCCTTGGATGAAAATCCTAAAGGGGAAAACAACTCAAGAAGCTTGGGAAACTCTAAAAAGTATGATCACAAAAGCCCAGTCCAGTACAATTCAACAGAAGAAGAAAAATAAGAAATCCAAGAAGAAACCAGCATGACTGCACAAAGATCTCTCTGATAAACTAAAAGACAAAAAAGACAAGTTCAAAAAATGGAAAGAGGAACACATAACTAAGGCAGAATATCATCAGCAGATAGCCAGAATCTGCAAAGATGAAGTCAGGAAAGCAAAAGCTCAGCATAAACAAAGACTTGCATCAAAAGTCAAAGATAATTTTTTAAAAAGTTTCTTTCAACCTATAAATAACAAAGAAAAAATTCAGAAAGCTGTCCACTAAAGAGAGAAGTTGGCAAAGAAGTAACAGGCAGCAGAGAGAAAGCAGAGCTGCTTAACTCATTCTCAGTCTTCACGCAAAAAGAAACTATAGCCCAATCTACCAAAAACACAACTGTAAAAAAACAGACTAGAAATCATACTTAATATGATCTTCTATTCCTCCTCCTAAAACTAAACTTTTCATTTTTCCTGCCAAAATGTAGGAATCTGCATTTCTCTCTGTTGAAATTCTTCCTGTCAGTTTCTGCCTTGGTGCTTCACTTGGTAAAGATCTTTTTGAAAAATGAAGGTTGACAACACAGTGTTTGTTTGGTCCATGGATTTCATCATCTCCTTTTCAAATCAAATCAAATTTATTACAATCCTAAGGCCAAATACAAACCAAAATCTATAAAGGTTCTATGCATAACAGAAAAACAATAAATGCAATGGAATCTAAAAAAATTGAGAACAAAGATGCTAAAATAAATCTAAATAAAATGCTATTATAAGACGTTCCAAATCTAAGTAATGATTTACACGGTAATGTACAAACAGTAGCAGAAAATTGGGTGATCTCACAGGTTATTTTCAAGTCCAAAAAAAGTAGCATTAAATATCATTAAATATTTATTTCACATTCTCTACCTGGAAATTTCTTCAGGACACGATATATAAGGGTCTGTCTAGTGTTCTTATATAGGGAATGTTTATTTTATTTTATTTACAAATAACTCAAGGCAGTGGACATATTCAACATGTTTCCCTCCTATATACCCCACAATAACAACCTTTTGGGGTAAATTGGGCTGAGAGTGAGTTAGGACTAGAACTCTCCACTTCCCATTTCTAACCTATTTCCTTAACTGTTTGCCCAAACTAGCAAATTATTAGTAACATATGGTTTAGAGAGCTTTTATTGAAACATCACCATGTGGACATAACCAAAGGTGCAAAAGAGCAACCTTCAAATATCCAAGACAGATAAAAGTATTTATCTCCTTTTCTAACACCCATCAAACTCATTTATACATATTTTGAATAGTGTAGGACCTAGAATGCAACACTTCCCTTCAGGTTAATACAAGGCTATTGATATTCAGTCCTTGGTTTTGATTATTCAGATATCTCAGAGTAGCTTAGTTACATCCATTTTTGGTTTCCTTATTAACATAAAATATTGAATACTTTGCTAGTATCATGGTCTACTCTTCTGTTGTATTCCCACAGTCAAATACCTTGTTCTTGAAATCTCCATGCTGGTTCCTATTAAGCAATGTGTTGTTTTGTATATGCTGGGAACAAAATGCTTAATAATTTTTCAAGTTCTGTCCAGTATAAACATCAAATTGACCCATCTATAATTACCCCAGTCTTTTTCTTTCCATTTTTGAAGACAGGAATGCTGGCCTTTCTCCAGTCCCCTAACACTACACTAAGATTTCTGAGACAAGGACTCTGAAATGACATCCATAACACCTTCAAACCTCGGATATTATTAGCCTGGGATGAAGACTTCAGGCTCATCCACATAGCCAGAAGGAGTTTCCCACTACCCTCAAGACAAGAGAAAAATACATCAGACTCAAAACATCAGGTCACTTTCTGAACCTCTGGAATGAGGCCAGCAGAGCTGATGTCTTGACACAGGCTGGCACTTGTTGCCCCTGCTGCTCCAGAGGAGGCAGGGCTGGTACTCCAGAGGAGTTCTGGCTGTGGGCACGTACAGTGGCTCCAAATACCAGCAGACTAAAGAGTTTCCTATTCAGCTTGTCGTGGCGGAAGGGCTTGATAAACAAAGGGCAGTATCAGTCATGTAGGCATTTAGAAGAGGATCATTTTCTGACATTTTAATTCCTTATTTCCTGCCTTTATTAATAATGGCTCTAAATCAAAAGTAAAAAAGCTATCAGGAAAGGAGGTAGCTTTGTTTTGTCCTTGAAAGTATTTGAATTACATCCAATTCAGGCCACATTTCCATAGAACTGTCAGTGGCAGTTCAAGTACTAAATACAAAAAATAATAATATGTACATTCATTTGGTCTAGTGATTTAGTTAATATTTTAATGGTTTCTTGTATTAGCATTCTTTTATTACTCTGCTTATTTGGCCTATTCCTTTCCTCTTTTGATTGTACAGATGCTATATTAATACTTTTTAACTAATGCCTAATTTTGGTTTTGTCTGCTTGTTTGAATATGTATAAATTAAAATGAAATTCTGAAGTTCTTCTGCAGTGAACTTTGACCTATTTAAAACTTTCCCTCATACAGTACTGCCTCAAATTTTTTACTATTTATTGACTGAGTTTTAAGGTTTTATCAGTGTATTAGCATATCAATCAGAGGTGGTAATCAGCAGGTTCTGACTAGTTCTGGAGAACCAATAGTAGAAATTTTGAGTAGTTTGGAGAACCGTCAAACACCACCTCTGGCTGGCCTCTGTCTGCACAGGAGAACGGAGCTGAAAAGCAGGTTAGTGGGGTGGAGAGGGAATGGGATTTTGCAGTATTCTCCCCCTGCCATGCCCACCAAGCCATGCCCACCAAGCCACACCACGCCCACCAAGCCACGCCCACAGAACCGGTAGAAATTTTTTTAAAATCCTACCACTGATATCAATACACCAGCCACAAAAATGCCAAACCCAGTCTGAACATCTGGCTAACTGTGCAACAAAATAATAATAATAATAATAATAATAATAATAATAATAATAATAATAA